CTACCGAAGCAAGAATCTGGACGCTTGGTTGGCGAAAGCCTTTTCCGTCTTGTGCAACCTGACCTGACCTGACCACAGTAAAAGTCTCTCGCCGACACAACGAGAAGTAAAGTCTCTCTTTCTCTCTGTTTGCAGATAGAAAGAAAAACCGATCAATTGCATAGGTGGACGCACACCCGTGAGCACACTACCGAAGGAATTCTGGATGCTCCATTGGCCTGTGGCAACTACCAGTCTTGTGCAACCTGACCTGACCTTGAATTACCCGCCACTCACGAAATTTTGCGCTACTTGCTTCGTAAGGATGCTGTCCACTGACTACCGAACATTCGATGGCATAATAAATTTTTCAAACCACTCAAGTCCAGCCCCGGGTGAAATAAGTACAGGTGTATGTTTTTCCCACATGTTTTGGATGTTTTCAGACAACATTATTCGCATGTCAATTTGATTCTGGCGTTGTTATTGGTGCCGATTCAAGAACTTCTTCTGGGTATGTCAGACGAACTGTTTCATGTAATATGCATACAGAACTTTCGTTGTCAATCGTGTCACAGATAAACTCACTCCTTTGGCGAAGAATATATTTTGTTGTCGCTCAGGGTCGGCCGCTGACACGCAGAAGGTTGCGGATATCGTAAGGTACCAACTGGATTTTCATAGGATGCAAATGAATCGCGAACCTACTGTTTTGGAAGCGGCCGTTGCTTGTCGTTCTATCTGCTATTCATACAGAGATGATCTCACAGTCGGTCTCTTTGTTGCTGGTTGGGATGAGGTCCTTGGTGGTCAGGTATCTCTCTGTTGAATTTATTTATATTGGTTAGATTTACTCTATTCCTTTAGGTGGTATGCTGCTCCGCCAACCTGCAGTAACGGGAGGCTCTGGAAGTACATACATTTACGGTTATTTCGATCGCGAATATAAACCAAACATGAAACAGGAGGATTGTGTTAACTTTGTTGCAACAGGTCAGTTTCAGTTCTTTATTGATTGAAGATATATATCACCAACCAATGTTCTGATGTTCCCATAGCTAAGATCCTTCTTGCAGTTGCCTATTTGACGAAGTTACTGTTTCTATTATGATGAATTACATATTTGGCGACTAAACTATTGATATCCACGAATACTTACGTCAAGCAACGGACGAAAGAACGAAAAGACGGGAGAACAACTAATTTAATGAAACCCCACTGACGGTTTTATTGGTATGATCTGCACCGTTCACATACCTAGCCCTCCCCTACCTCACCGCCCCCTTAACACCCTCTCCCGGGTTCTACAAATCATCGTATTAACATTGGCTGTCGCCTTTCCCACCATCGCCTGTACGAACTTCAGACGTTTCATCTAAGGGCACGCTAGTTGGTGTCCGCCCTCCTCGAGTCAGCGACGAACGCAGATCGACCAAATCGCTGTAAACCACAAATGGCGGAGATGCATACTAGACTGCACTATCCGACCGCTCATTGGTATTCCCCCAAGCTGTCCGTGTGTCTGGGTGGGCGCTCCAAGCGCCCAACACAGCGGTGGTTAGACTATGGTATGATGTCCCATCCAGCATGCCTAACTGTCTTTCAAAACGAGACTGTCAACGAGCATAATACAACGTCTCGTAAAGAGACGTAATCTTAACGCAAGCCTACTCGGGGAACGCAAGATTTGGTAGATTCACCGCGCATCAGAGATTGAACGTGCCGGCGCCATGAAAAATTACCGTAAGCTGTTCCATCATTCGAGTCACCGATAGGAAAACCTGCGAGGCTGACGATTCGCCCATTCATAATCAACAGCGACGTCTTGCACGATGAGCGGAGCATCCCAAGACAGTTTAGCTAGCCACACAGCACATTCCATGGTGTGTCTCAACAGACCACCTTCTGAGGCGAAAATCCGCAAGGATATCCTAGCCTTGGGACGTCACAAAGCGCCGGGCTCCAAAGGCCTTCTGCCAGCTCTATTTAAAGATGGAATAAAGTCACTTCGCCGATTGTTTCAGTTTTTACAACCACTAACCATGCACATTCGTGCACCGGTTTTGGTTACTGTCTTTTGGTCGCCCATTTGGATAAAAGAGCAAGATGAAGATTGGAATATCGAAGCAAATTCAAGCGGAAGATAGGGAATTCATNTTCATATAGAGTGGTGTTAGGAGAATAGCGAGTGGATGCATGAGCGCCAGTTTGCGACACCCAGCCATATCACTTAGTGTCTCTAACCATCGGTTACGATCATCCCGAAGTCCCCAGCCGATTGTACGAGGTACGTGATTTGCGGATCCTCGAGGAGCAAGCTGGGTTTCGCTCCATTCATGAATACATGGATCATAGCTTCACCTTCACAGCTGCTAGAGTACCATCATGCATGTCAAAGACATCCGCACGGCATCGACTCTGTCGATAGGACAGCATTATGGAACTGTTTTTTTTGCGGGATAGCGTTCCTGAGAAGTGTGTCGATTCTCGAAGAGTTGTATCGTCATATCAGATCGGGTTAGGGCTTATGGCCAGCTTTCACCACCCTTCGCCGTCTCCAGTGGAGTTCGACAGGACTGCCTTTTTAACTTTGTCATAGAGGATGTCCTACAGAATTCCTTGTTCGGCCCAGTAAACGGTGAAGTCAAACTCCGCCCAGGGAACAGATTCATTGACTT